TCCAGGTAGCTGCGAGAGTTTCCCCTTAATTTTGGATCCACAGAGGGTTTTGTGTTTTGTAGCTGTGGGTTTCCCCATGGGGTTTTACAGCCTCAGCTCAGTGAGGGAAACCATGTGTAAGTATCCCAGGGACAGGAGCCAGGGTGTGTTTCCCTTGATCTCAGCCAGGTTTGATGTTTCACACATCTCCTTCCAGCTCCTCTCACATGTCACCCTGCAGAGAGAGCGCTGCTGCTTTCCCCAAAACACGGATGTGAGCATTGCTCTTCTGGGAGAAAGGGGATTCTTAAAAATTGATTTTCTCTTACTCAATGGCAATGGTTCTTGGAAGCCCTGAATGTGCCCCGAGACAGCTGCAGGCTGGGCTGAGCTGAGTCACTGCGACTCTTGAGCTGGGATTTGAGCCGGATGCATCGGGACCAGCCCGGCTCGGGAGACCTCTGCCTTCCTGGGATGGAGAGGCAGCTCTCCAATCTGCCCTGACCAGGAAAAACCTGCAACTCTCACTTCCCTGAACGCTGGGAAAAGTGCAGTGTGATGGGGTGGATAGGAGAGAGTGACAGAAGGAGGGGAAAGAAGATCCAATCCCATCCAGAGGAGCAGCTGTGGTGGTAGAACACCACTGAGCTGTGGGCAATTTTCCTGTGGAGCTTTTCCTCGTCATGAATCAAAGCTGCCCTGTGGGTACTGGGAAAATCCACCTGAAAATAAATGTTTTCCTCACACAGACTTGGTACAGCCTTTGATAAGAATCTGTGGAGAGGAGAGAGGGCAGGAAGATGCTGGGCAGTGTGCTGGTGCTCCAGCCTTTAATGGAGGCATTTTTTAAGCTTTTCAGCAGGGAGTGTGAGGGAACAAAGGAGAGAAATGTTCACAGGTGATTTCTCACAGACCAGCTGGACATGGGGTTTGTTCTGGGAGTGTGGATGCTGTCTGTTCTGTGGGGCAGAGGAACAGTGATGGGAGGGAGGGCAGGAAATCCATGGTGTGGGCCATAAGGACGGTGTGGTTAATGCCAGGAAAAGAGGCTGCAGGTCCAGCTTGTTGGGGCTGAGCTCTCTCCTTGTATTTGTGTCTCCTGCCTGGTTCTCTGGAGCAGAGAAGGGATGGTTGATACAGGCAGGGAAGAGGCTTGGCACTGAATATGTACCAAAAAGAGCAAAAATTTGGTGTGGGACAGCAGGAAATGCAGGGAATTGTACTGCAGCACTCGCCTGCTGCTTTCTGTAAGCTGCTGGAACAGCACCCTGCTCCAAAGGGAATAATCCAAGTTTTTCTCTGCTCCTGTACCTCGGAGATGGCTCAGTGCTGGAGGTCAGAAGTTTTCCTCTGTGGGAGCACAGGCTTTGTCCACCCGAGCTGTGGTGGTACCCTGGGAGTGGAAACCATTCTGGGTCCCTGGGGAATAATGTCACTGTGAACCCTCTGAGCAGCTGCTTGGCCTGTTCCCCAGTGCAGATGCTGCTCTTGAAAGTCCTGCCTGAAGTCTGAGGGCCAGGGAAGCACCTGGGTCAGTCTCTTGTTTCTGCCTCTCTCCCAGAGCAGGCAGCTGGGAATGTGAAGGTTTTTTTTTCCTCCAAAAATTCCATTTTCATAGCAGGTGCCTGCTCTCTTACATCATTTGCAGAATTGACGTCACTCTATCCCTGCCCAAAGCAAATTGGAGGGAGGATGGTAGAAATCTTATTTTTCCTAATTTTTCTTTTTTAAGAAGCAGAGAGGGGAATACTTTGCTCTCTTGATAAGTTCACAAGGACACCTGGAAGTACTTGAATGATGCCAGTTTGGATAGAAAAAGTGTCTATTGATGCTGGAGTTGAGTTACTGCTGACAATTACAAAGTCAAACTATTCCCTTTTCCACTGTGCCTCCTGTCAAGCTGATCTATTCCAAGGACAGTTTGAGTTTTCTCTCCCATCAGGAAACTGTCACTAGCCAGTCACATCAATTCCAAGCAGATTTTATTTTTTCATGGCTTAGCCTACCAAGTGAGAAATCAAAGGAAGGAGTGATGCTGGTACCTGCTGGCAGGGAGAGGGGCACAGGTGATGGATGCTTCTGCCTTCTCCTTTTCGTCTACTTTTTTTTTTTATTCTAGTGTGTTCTTTGCTTTTCTCTAAGCATTGTCTCCTTCGCCTTCCCCTGACAATCCCAGGGCATCAGGGCTGGGATTCCTTCCAGATTTTTGTCTCGGGACAAAGCTGAGCTATGAAGAGGCGCAGCCCCAGCCACTGTTTTTTTTTGGGGGGAAATCCAGTTGGAGTGAAGGATGCAAAGGAGGCAGTGTCCATCCCAGAGGATGCTCTGCCTGTACCCTGCTCTGAGTAGCTGCCCCTGTGCCTGTCCCCACCTTTGCACAGGGGTTTTGCACAAACTCTGGTGCAAAGCACCACAACTCTTGGCACCTATGTGGCGTGTCCTGTACTGTCACCGTGTGAGTGTCAGCCAGATGGGGCTTTTCGGCTTCCTGAGGGGAGTCTGGCCTCTGGTCACGAGTGTGTTCCATTGTCACGGGGCTGGGCGAGAGCAGGCTGACACACGGGGACAAAATCAAACGTTTTTTCCAGCCCTCGAGGTTGTGCAGGTAACCTAAAAATACAGCTGGAATGCGGCTGGGCGGTGACATCCTCCCAGGGCTGCCCCGGTGTTATCTGGCCGGTGCACAGAGCCTGGGTGTGGCTCTGAGCCCCAGAGGTGGCTGTGCCAATGCCTCTGCTTGTCAGACACTCTGGCTGAAGTGCCCATCCCCAAATTCCTCGCTGGACACTGGAGGTCACATCCTTCTCCCTTGCACAGTCTCGTCCAGAGCCGGTGGCACTGTGGCTGTGATGTCCTGCTCTGGCTGTCCCCCGCCATGGACAATGTCCTGCCCCATCCAGGGGGATGAGAAGGATAACACTGCTCCATTTCCAACTGGATTCAGTTCAAAGGCTCTATTTTCAAGCAGAGTTTCCAGCCTGTGTGTCCCGTGCATGGCTGGGGCACGTGAGGCTTTCCCATGGGATGTGTGCCTGGTGCATGGAGAGGTGGGCACACCCCAGACTGGGCAGTGCCTGCTCTGCAGCCTTCACCAGGGAAGCTGCTGCCCTTGCTGGGAGATGTGGGGGTCACCAGGCTGTATGGTGCTGGGATGGGACAGCCAGCTGGTGCATGGGCTTGTCCCTGAGCAGAGGGAATGAAGTACTCCACGAAAATCAGACTGTCCCCATGGTTAGACAGCAGCTCTGCTTAGGGGACAGGTGAAGTCATTAATGTTGTGCTCTATCCCAAACATGCTGATGAAAAGCTCCTTTCCAGCCCCAAATGGGACACTTCTGCTGCTCATGGCAAAGCAGCTCATCCCCTTCTGCACTCCCTGGCTGTGATGGTGACCCAGCCTTAAGTGAAGTGGCCTCGGGAGGGGCTGTGTGTCCGCAGGGGAAGGGTGGGGAGAGGGGCCCGGTGTTGGCAGGGCACTGTTTGAGCTCATTGCTGTTTTTGAGGGTGTGCTCTTCCCCTTATACGAACCAGCCCCCTGGCAGGAGGCTGCTGGGAGGGATGGGAACCATCCTTGTCCCTGGCTCTGCCCTGGCATACCCGAATTCTGCCTGAATTCTCCCCAGGATTTGCTGGCCCAGCATCCCTTTCCTGTTTTGGAGTGACATCCCTCATGGGGAAGCTTTGTTAACACCAGTGAAACATCTGATGCTTTTTGTTCCCCTGGGATTAGCTGTGCCCTATAAAGGATTGGATAATTTCTGGCAAATTGTGCACATCTTTCCAGGCTTGGCTATTCCTACTGCACCAGCAAACCTTTGAAAGAGTTCCCAACAGTGAGACTTGGAAGGATGGTTGGGTCTGTTTTTGTTTCTTCACTTCTTTCCCCCTTGTTTGTTTATTTTTAAGATGCTTTTGAGATGTCAGGAAGCTCTGCTTTACACCACCCCTGGTCCTCAGGCACTGAAACCCAACAGGATTAATTCAAAGGAAATCTTTCCCATCCCACCTGCTGGGTTAGGGACTTTCTGCTCCAAAGCAGCTCTGACTCTGTGGGTGTCTGTAAAGACCCTTGGAGTGTCTGTGTCTGGGTGAGAGGGAATTAGCTGTCAGTGGAGTTAGTGATGGGAGGGCAGCACAGCACTGCTCTCCCCTGGAGTGCTGGGGACGGGTGCTGGTGGCTCTCAGTGCCTTCTGCAAGAACAGCTCCTGCGTCAGCATCCTTTATGTGCTGATGATCTGTGCCTGAAACTATACCCTGGGAGTGGAAATGAGCCTGAGAAAATACCTTCCGCAGTCCTTCTGGGGCTTACATAAACACTATTTAAAATTAGAGCCACTCATTATGTTGGTATGTGCATTTACCTTGACCTCTGACTTTTCAGCCTGCAAATGTGCCTGGTCCGGCACAGCCTGGAGTTGGGAGAGAGCTCAGTAGCAAGGCACTGGTAGATTTTCTATAATTAGTTTAAGGTAAAGAATCTGGTACAGTATCTCCCCTCCAGGCTGACAGGGAAATCGAAAACAAAACTGCAGCCTGTCAGAGCTGAGCCTGGCTTTGATCAGGAACATCAGCATTGGCTTCTGCTGGAGCGGTTTTGAGGGAAAGGGGAAGAGCAGCAATTCTTGGCCATGGCTTTTCTTGCACGTGCTTGCAGAGAAATGAATGCTTTTATTTTCCCACTCTCCCTTGCTATTTCCCAGCCAAGTGCATGCAGCAATTTATATTTTGCTACCAGAGATGCCATCTCGGTTGTCACCCTGGAATAGCTACTAAGCTCCGAGCCAGCATTGTCATGGAGCAATATTTCTACTATTTGTTGTGGTAATAGTTGTTAGTGGTGGAGCAATTAACATGTCACCTGCAGCACAACGAAATGTGACCTGTTTCCATCCCAGCACCTCTTTGGTGCCCAAACCAGCACGCCTGGGCTCCCCTTGGTTGGTGCCAGGGCTGTCCTGGAGCAAAGGTCACTCGGTGGGATGCCTGGGCCTGCAGGCTGGCTTGGGATGGGTGAGTTTGTGGGAAGAGAAGGCGTCCCACCGGGATGCACTGTAGCAATCCAGCGCTTCAGCAGCTCCCGGAGCTGGAGTTTGGCTCGCCACCAGTTTCCTGTTGACGTCACCTGCTATTTCTCTGCTGCAGTTTTTACAACTGTTGAGCTTTCAAGGGTAATCGGAGCCGAGTCCGGCCAACCTCGGCAGCTGCCGATGAGGGAACGCTGCTCTACCTTCCCCAATTCCCCCCGCTTGCCTTCGCTGCTGCTTCTCCCAGCCTTGGGGACCCCTGGGATCCGGGGACACCCGGCGAGGAGGGCTCTGTGAAGCCAGCGGGTGCTTGGGGCCATGCATTCCCACTGAAAAGAATCATCGGTGCTTGCAAGAAGTGCCGTGCGCTGGATCCTGCGGGAATTTTTTCCCCTCCCTCCTCCAGTCCGCCCCCATCCCTCTCTTGTGCCAGGCGTGCCGGCGCTGCTCTTCATTTCTGGGAAACCATGGACAAGAAGCAAGGTAGATGTTGCAATTTCCAAAACACGTGGTGGGGGAGAGCAAAGGGCTGGTTTTGGTGCTAAAAGGGGCTCTGTAACTTTTTGGGGTCAATCCACGCGGTTTTGTTTCTCCTGGCTTGGGCAGGGGGTCGGTCTTTGCAGCTGAGGATCTATTTTTAAAGCACTGGAAAAGTTGCATGTTTTGTGGGGTTAAAACTCTGGCATCTTAATTGTGAAAAAAAAAAAAAAAAAAAATCAAATCCAGCATGTCTGTAGGAAAATATGCAGAGGGTGAAGCTGGCTTCTGGCTCCGGTTTGAGTCGCATTCCTGGGACGCAGGGTTTTCCAGCAGCTCTCTGTGCCTGTCCCCTGCCTGTTGCATGGGCAAGGTGGGTGCCCACAGCCCCAGCAGTCAGGAACTCTGATTCAGCACAGGCTGAGAGGCTGTTTTGGGGCTGCAAGGGGCTTTTTGTGCAGCGTGTTTTTTTCCTGCTGCTGGCTGGCAGTTTTGCAGAAGTGCAGAGCGCGCTGACCCGCGGGAGCCCCTCTGCAGCGGGACCTCGGACGGCTGATGAGTGATGGCTCTCGGCAGGTTGAGAGCCCTTTTTCCACTTCCATGGATAGCTTTTTCCACTCCCAACAGTGGAAAACAGCACAAATTGTGCCTCTGAGGAGCTGGCTCTCATGACCAAGCACCCAAATTCCCCTCTCTGCTCTGCACCCTGCCTTCAATTTATTTCCTTTCTTTTCTTTTTCTTTCCTTCATGCTTTTTTGTTCCAGCTCTTTATTTGCAGCAGGGCTGGGATCCACCCTCCAGCTTTCTGCCCTATCCATGGCATCTGACTCTCCTCCTTGGATCAAGGAGAACCAGGATGCATCCAAAACATTTCCCCCAGCACTAACAAAGCAGCACAGCTCTCAGAGCAGCCTCCCGTGCCCAGGACTTCACCTGGGGCTACAAACAGAGCCCTGGGGAGGCAGTGGTGAGGTTTAATTTCAAAGGTCGACTCAGGCAAATAGTTTTATTTGCAGTTCTTTAGATTGTCCTCTTCATTTCTCTCCGCCCACGCCAGCGGAGTGGGAAGGAAAAACCTCTCGTAGAGAGGTGCAGCTTAATAGGGCTGAAGTTGGTGGTGGCAAAAATGAGGATTCCGGTGTTGAATTAGGCAGTTCCAGGAAATGTCTGGCGGTTCTTAACTGGTGGTGGTTATAGCATGAGAAAAAATCTCGTTGGGCTTTTTTGGCTTTTTTTTTTCTCTTTAGGAGGAAATGGTTCCTTTCTTAGCATAAAGGATGCAGTTACGTGCCTGCAGCATCACGTGGGTTGCAATTTCATCCGCACCAGGAACTTCTGTCAGCTCATTTTCCCCTGCCTGGGTGCAGGGCACTGTGCTGTGTGTGTCTGTGGCTGGCAGCCCTTCCCTGTGCCCGGAACGGTGCCCTGCCATCCCGTGGGCTCGGGGCTGGCAGCAGAGCCCTGGAGCTTGCAGGGATAACCAGGACATGTCCCCAGCTCGCCTTGTCCTGCTGCTGCCTTTTGGCCTTTGCAGAGGGATCTCTTGAGGGGAACTTGTGCTTGCAGACAGCCCTCTTGCAAGAGCCCAGTGCTCTGGGAAACTGGAGCGTTTCCAGGATTTTCAGGTGACATTAGCAGTTGTGCACATTCTAGCAATTCCTCCTGCACCGACCCTCGTGGGCTCCCAAATGTGGGGGGACTGTGCTGAGTCTCAAGCGTAGGAGAGAGTGCCAGGGACTCTCCAGTGGGAAGGAGCTGACAGCAGCTGCCTGCGGGGGCTGAAGGGCTTGAATTGCAGGGTCATGTCATGCCCATCCCACTGCTTTTCCACTTCTCTCTTCTTTTCCCTTTTTTTTTTTATTCCCTCCTCTTGTTTTTCCTGCATTCTCATTCACCCTGAATGGGGCATTGGCTCTCCTTGGGGAGAGGCTCTGGTGCCACAGGCAGTGGGAGAAGCTTGCAGCAAGGAGCTGTTCAGGCCAGCTTTTGGGAGCTGAAAAAATTTTAGGAGAGCTGTAACAAACGAATCCAGCCTCTGCTTCAGCTCCTGGCTGCAGGGCAGCATCCTGGGTGGTTTTATTCCTGCAGGAATGGGCTGAGCTGGGTTTTCTGCCCTTCACAGGTGGCCCAGGCAGAGTCTGGGAGTGGTGGTATAATATCTCTGGTTTAATCAATGCTTTTTCATATTGGAGCTAGGAAATGCTTTTTGGGGCTGAGCAGGACAGGCTGGGAAAGGGATGGTTGCTGATTCCAACTCTGGGAAGTCAAGGGTGGTAGTTTGGGAGCACAGGGAAGTGTGCAGGGTGCCTGTGACAGCAGAGTTCATGGCCAGTGCACATCAAAAGACTCTCCTGTACTGAGCAGGGGGTTTGGAACAGGGAATCTCTGTGTCCCTTGCTGCCCTGATATCCCATGCTGCAGATCCTGCCTGCAAGCTTGGGCTCTGCTGGATGAGGCACCCTGTGATTCCCAGCCCCACACTGGGTGCTCCCAGCAGCCAGAAGGGCTGAGGAAGGGCTGAGGCCATGCTGCAGAGGCCTGGCTCGGGTGCCTGTGGACCCTGCTGCTGCCCCGTGAGTCACGGCCGCGGTGCCAGGGGAGCTGCTGGTGGCACAGAAGGCGCTTTGTGCGGCTCTGCGGGGTTACTATGGCAATTGGGGAGAGGGAGAGCAAACAGATGGAGCAGAATCCCAGCCAGCATGGGGGATTTCAGGCCTTCGTGCAGAGGTCTGGCTGGTAACTGCTGCAGCAGGGAGGGCTGTGTGTGGAACAGAGACCAGTCTGAGTTTTGGAGCAGCTCCTGTGGGTGAAATGCTCAGCACAGAGCTAAATCCATCCCCTGGCATAGGATGGGTGCCCACAGCAAGCTCCCAGCTGAGTGCAGAAGGACTCAGGGGACCCCAGTTTCTACATTCTGTTCTTGGCCTCCCACACTGAGAGGCTGAGAGTGGGAAGGGGAGGCACTGGTGAACCCACAACATCATCTTTCCTCTGGCTCTGTTCTGTATTTGCTCCTGTCGTTGCTCCACTGGGTATTTTGCCAAGTGCCATCAGTGGGTGTCTGGAGCTGTTCACAGTGCCCCTTCCAGCCCTGTTGGGTGGGCAGTGGGGAAGGGAAACTCTGCAGGCTCACAAATTGGAACTTGTGAGTGCTCTGACATGGTCAGGTGGTTTCCATCCAAGCGGGATCGGTTTGGGGTGGAGTGGCTCCTTGGCTGGTTTCACTGAGCTGGAAGTTCACATCATGGAAACTCTGCTGGTCTTGGAGCTTATGGCTCAGCTCTGATGCAGGAAAAGTGGCAGATAAGGTGGGGGTGTGGACTGATCTGTGCTGATTCCCTGAGCAGGGAGGGATGCTGCTGGTCCTGCAGGTGGGACCTGTGCACTATGTTACAGACCAGCTTTAACCCACAACCTCAGCGAGGTTTGCATTTGAGGAAGGACAAGACAGGAGAAGTGAGTCCCAGGCACCTGTTTTGTCCTAGAGCTGGCAGGGCACAGGGCTGGGGGCTGTCAGTGCTGGGGACATTTTGGGCACGTGTCTCCCTTCTGCCCTGCTGCAGCTGCAGGAGCTGTTGCACGGTTCTGTCTCTTGAAATTCCAGCTCCTCGCTCTCCCCTCCCTTCCCTGGCAGCCTTTGGAGTGCTGGACTTTGTCCACACGCCTGCTCCCAGCAGCCAGGCAGGTAGGAGCTGCTTTGAAAGGCTGTCCAAGGCCACGCTGAGCTGTCTGCTCCCAGCCCCATGCCTGGAGCACACCTTGATATTCCTGCTTTCTAATGGATCTTCCAGCTCTGTGCAGCCACAGCAGCTTTAGCTGCGAACTGCAGCTGCCCCCTTGTCTCTCCTGGGGGGATCAGGACCTCGATGCTCTCAGCTGCTGCACTTTCAGCTCCTTGGGGTCAGTTTATTTTCCCAGGGAGCCAGGATGGAATTTTCACCTGCAGGATTCTGGCCTGTGGGTGTTGTTACCTCAGGGATGTTTGGAGTTGGGAGGAGGGGGACAAGAGCATCCTCTTGCCAGTCATTCCTGGTGCCTCAGCCTGTGCAAGCCCAGATTTGTGAGGGGCTCACTGCTGGCTGACAGTCAGCTCGTGTCTGTTTTTTCCCTGTTTTCCATTTGTTGTGGATGGGGTGTTCCCTCTCCTGCTGGGACTAACCCCTTGCTTTTGTTGGATTTTTTCTGGATGTCTCATGGTCATTGCCCTCCATGCCAGGTCCAACTCTGGTTCTTCCCAGGAAGGCCAGGCTGGGCCTGGGGCCCTGGGGATCCAGGAGCTTCTGGACAGGGAACATTTTTTGGGAGCCCTGCACATCACTAATGGCGTGGGGACCTCTTGTGGCTGGAGAAACGGGGATGGGGCCAGGCTTGGCTGTGCTCCTAAAGCCCAGCTGCCTCCCTCTCCTGGAGCTCTGCTGGGTCCAAAGCCGTGAGGGGTACAGGGCTGCTCTCTGGTTCAGCTGGAGCATGAAGGCTGAGCTGGTGTCTTGTTTTTCAGATTCCAAAGGATCCTTGGAGCCACACAAACCAGGTAAGTGTCCAGCAGAAATTGCAGCTTCCACCCCAGACAGGGTATAAATCCCAAAGAGAAGGGACTGTTGATGGCCATGAAGGGTAAAGAGCACTTTTGGGGTACAGTGCTTTTCTGCAAGACCTGGAAAATTGTCTGTTAGTGCACCCGTGGCTGTTTCTACAGAGCAGTGTTCATCAGTGTCATTGAGACCCACTTGTGCTCTGGCTCTTGCCTGAAATTTTGGGCAAGTGGTCACTGTGACCTTGTTGGCATTTTGCTGACCGTGGTGAGGGGTCCAAGCCATGCATTCCTTGCCTAGTGGCTGCTGGGAAGAGGGTGCTTGAAGGAAAAAGGCAAAAATCCATTTGCTCACGTGTGCATCTTCTCTTCCAGTGAAAGGCAAGAAGAAGCGGGATCTGAGGATAACATGTGTCCCCATCAAACCACCCGTGGCCAACACAACGTAAGGATCTCTGCTGCTTAGAGGCTCTCCAGAGCTGGATTTGGCACTTCCTCAAGGGGAATGACCTGTGGAAACCTCCCAAAATCAGCATAGTTTTATTGTCTCTTAAGCTGGGGCTCGTGGGTGATGAGAAGGAATTGCACATGTGTGCAGACAAATGCACAGCATGTGTCACTCTGGGAGGTGCCTGTTTGATAGGAAATGTCCTAAAGGCAAAGACTCAGAATCCTCTGGGGAGCTCTCTCCTCAGTCTTTCTGCCATGGCTGTGCCAATGCCAAAGGGCAAAGATGTGGTAGAGAGAGTGAATTTGCCTGAGGGAAGAAGAGGGAAGAATTTGAGTGCAGGGGAAGAGAAGAGGTGGTGATAGCTGGAGGCACAAAGGTTGGGGGAGTGTTTTACACGACCTGGGTATCAGGTTTAGTTTGACTTGTTTGCAGCTCCTTACCCTGCTAAAAGGAGGACACAGACATCTTGCACTGTTGTGCTGTTTGGTGCTGGGGCCAGTGCCCAGCAGTATCTCAGGGCACTGGAATTTCTCCCTGCCCAGTTTGCTTCGAGCTGCTGATGCTTGTTATGCCATGGGGGAGAGCCCAGGGTAGCAGTGCTTGGTTTGACAAAGAGCAGACGGCTAAAATTCCACTTCCATGGTGCTCTTCCAAAACACTTTGGGCTGCATCACCACTGCTGAGCCTTGTTTGCTCCAGAAACCTGTTCTAGAGAACTCCAGGAGAGCAGTGGAGTCCCCAAAAGGGAAATATCACTGCTGAAAACCCCAGGCAGAAAGGGGGAGGCAGGGGAGCTCACCCACTGTGCCTCGCACAGCCCTGCCCTGCCTGTGACAGCCACCTCCTTCCCCCACGGGCACATCTGTCTCTGCTCCTGCCAGGGTTTGAATTTCCCCTGGAGAAGGCCTCATGCTGGAGTCTGCAGGGCTTTGCATGCCCAGGGGCTGGTGCAAGCTGTCCACTGCTCCTTTTCTCCCTGCTTTTCAAGCTGCAGTGCAAATATTTGCGCAGTGCAGGGCTTTTGCTCAGAGCCCAAAGTACTTCCTTGAAGCTGGAGGCTGCTCTGATGGGAACTGAGACGAAACCAGTTGGGCAATCTCTCCTTTTTAGAAGCTCCCAGGGGATGGGGAGAGCCCAGAAGTGAGGCTCAAGGGGGGGAACACGCAGGGTGGCTCTAAAAGTACCGTGCTGCCCAGAATGGGAAGTGGGCAGCAATAAGGAAAAAAGCCATAAAGGACAACTTTCACCTGCCTGGTGTTGAGCAAAGGGTGACACCGGAGTGCTGCCTGCTCTGCCTGCCTGGAACAGGCAGCAGAGTGTACACAAATGACTCACAGGGAGGAATTACCTGTTGTTCCCTCGCGTGCGTTTCGGGCTACGTGGCTGTGCTGGTACAACACCTGCCTGTCAAAACATGACAGCTGAGCTGCTCTGCCACAGAAACGTCTCATCTCAGCTCCTCAGGCTCCTCTCCTGAGCAGGAATGGTTTCACAGCCTGGTGGTTTGGTGCATGTCTCACCTGGCTGACTCCCCGGGGTTCTCACTGTGCCTTGTGGGTGTGGGGTGAGGCATTACTGGCACGATTTAAAGCATTTGTGGGTGTTTGGAGGGGGCTGGTTGGAACCTACAATGAGGCACGGGGTGGGGGGAAAGCAGCAGCTGAAAGTGCTCAAAGGAATGTGAAACCTGGCTCTGGCCAAGAGGGTGAATGAAGCTGGGCTTTCTCCTGACTCTGTCTCATTTCTTGCAGGCCCCCGAGGAACTTGGACTCCAGGACGTTCATTACCATTGGAGATAAAGTACGTGTCACTGGGGTTTCTTTTTTTGCTTGCTTCCAGTTTGGTTTTCCCTGGGCATGGAGAGCTCTATGGATTGTGCCTTGCAATCTGTCAGATCAGGAGTGCAGCCTCATGGGATACAACTTTTAATCTAAACCATTCTTGGATGATCCAAGCCATCTGTTCTAAATGAGGGTGGCCTCACCAAGCTCTCAGACTGCCCCTAACAAAGTCGCTTTATTCTGCCTACCCACAGCTCTGTGTTGCTGCTCGAGGCTCAGGAGAAGCTGGGCACAAAGTTTCTCTCTGGTTCTCAAAAGTCTTTCCTAGTGACCTGATGAAAAACACTGCTAGAAATAGCCACTGTCTCTCTTTTATTTCATTCTCTTGTTATGGGCTCTCTTGGGGCTGCAGGAGCTGTTTGCAAACGAGCTAAAAATACCCTGCATTGGATCAGCCCTATATCTAGACCCATCCAGGCTGGGAGGTGGCTTGGCTGATGGGATCTGGGTCCCTTGGCCTCAGTGCAAGGATTAGGGTTGAGGAGAGGAAGCTTTGGCTGGGTCCAGGGAACAGTCCTGCTGCCTGTGCTGTTTTCTGGGCCTGGTGTCGTGTGTAGCAAGAGCTGTGGGAGAGATTCTCTGACAGCCTGGGCACTGTACGTGCAAGGGGAGAGCGCTGCAGCCCAGGGAAAACCCTCTAGAGTCACTTCCTTGCCTGCTCCAGTGTTTGCAGGAAGGGTCTGGCCTGGGTATTTTGGAGTGACATGATGGAGAAGAGGACTTGGGCAGAAGTCCAGCTTCAGGAGTGGAGGTGGGTGGTGACCTTGGGTCCCTGGGATGTGCACAGGCCACGCCATGCATCCCATTGTCCAGGGAGGGCTCCATGGGTGCATCCATCACCTCTTGTTGCTGGGCAGGGCAGCGCTGGTTCCTGGAGTGTGCTGGGAACTTCTGGGGAAGCCTCGGGGCAAATGCCAGGAAAGGAAAAACACAATAACCTGGAACAACTGCAGAACACGTGTCCAAAAAGCACCTCCAGATCCTTCCTGCGAGCCTGCACTGCTCCTCTGCCAGCTGCCCTCGGTGGGAGGTTGGACGTGTCCCCTCAGCCCTGCTCTCCTCGTTTCAGGACCCACGTCCTGTGCTGGGCAGAGCTCGGGCACAGCCCTCCCTGCCCGCCACATCTGGCTGCAATCAGCAGCCACATCTGGCTGCAACCAGCGGAGCCAGGGCTGGCAGGAAGGTCGGGCAGACCTGGTGGCTGCTGCTGAGGGGACAGTGCTGGCCAGGGGCCTGGCAGCCACATGTCCCAGCCTGGCTGCTCCAGGCCAGAGGCCGTTTCCTCTCTCCCTGCTCAGGGCGTAGCTCGCAGGCACCGTATCCGGAGCGGTGCCGTGCTTGGTTCCCACCCTCGCTGCCTTTGTGGCCACTGGGGCACTTTGGCATCCTGGTATTATTTTTGTTCCCTGAGACCGGAGGAGAACTGGAGGCTGGATAAAAGCTGGCTAAAAGGAGGCCTGTGACTTATTAGGAGCGATGAATGCAGCATCCAAAAATAGCCCGTGTGTCACTCGGTTCGTGCCCTGCCCAGCAGAGCCAGCAATTACAGGGGAACGTGTCTTTAGGGAAACTTGTTTGTGGCTTGTGCAGGAGCTCGCTGGCTCCCTGCAGCGTCAGCCACTCGCTGGGGTGAGCACTGGTTGTGGTTTTTTTTCCCAGCTTGAAGCAGCACTTAGGGAGATGTTTTCTTGGTGTTAACTCAGGTTTTACCTTGCTGACAGCTTTTTGGTGGTAGGAGAAGGTACTGAAAGTGGGTAAAACCTGTTTGAACTCACTGATAATTAGAAATGGAGTTGCTGTGTGCACCCCACCTAAGAGAGGCTTTGCACAGGTGTTGTTATACACGCACAGGTGTATTTGTGACTGATGATTTTTGGGATGTGGGGAGAGGTGAGGGATCCCTGGCTGCACACAGGGGTTTGGAGCTGTGGTGTAGGGTCCTGACTGCTGCCTATGTTGGCACAGGGGCTGTTAAAATCCTGCAAATAGTTCAGCACCTGCAGAAATACCCTTGTGTGGGTAATCCCCCGCCGGCAGAGAGGCACCAACCTTTGGTGCCCTTTCTAATGGCAACGTTCCCTCGGCTTAAAGGACGAAAGTCCTGATCTCCAGCTGCAGAGTGGGAATTAAATGAACCCTGGTGAGTGTAGGGTGAGAGGGTTTGGGCTGTGATTCAACAGAGCCAAAAATACCCCCATCCTCTCTAAGTGTGGTGCCTCTGGAGTCCTGTAGGTACCAATGTTTGAAACGCTCTGCACGAGCGAGCTGACAGCGTTGCTGATGTCCTTGTTGATGTGTGCTTGTCCCTGATGCCATTTTGTCCTCTCTCCCTAAAGAACTTCGAGGTGGAAGCTGATGACCTGGTGACCATTTCGGAGCTGGGCCGTGGGGCCTACGGCGTGGTGGAGAAGGTGCGGCACGCGCAGAGCGGCACCATCATGGCCGTGAAGGTGGGTGAGGACACCTGGCTGGGCTGGGGATCAGCAGGGGCAGCCCCAGGGGAGCAGAGGAGCTGCTGAGCTCCACTGGTTGTGGCAAAATGAGGATGGGATTATCTGGTTTTGGCAGCCTCTGGTGTTCCTGGTGTGGTTTGGCCAGCGGAGGGTCTCTGCTGGTGGTGGCTGGGCACGGTGGGGTTGATAACAGGCTTGGAAATGCGGGATTGGTGCCTGCAGTGCAAAGCTGGGATGTCAGAGTGCCTGTCCAGGCTGCTGGCCTGGCCCTGCACCCGCTGCACAGCGTGCCAAGGGTTTGGCATTCGTCAAGGCTCTGTCTGGCAGAGGCAATTTGGGCATCTCCTGGGTGCTGCTGGCTGCAAAATAAGGATAAAACACCCTGGCCCCAGGACTGCAGGTCCTAAGTCAGGCTGGGGGATTCAAGGAGCTCAGTCAAAAGTTATGCTTATGCTTTTTTGCTTTTCTTGCTTTTAGCCATGCAGATTGGCCAGTTAGCCAACCTAAAACAAATGTTTGAATATCTACTAATATCTTCTACTGTGTGACTGTCTGATTTTCTACTGTGTGAATATCTGATTTTCTACTGTGTGAATATCTGATTTTCTACTGTTTGTTACCCCACCTACACCAAACCCTTCTTGTTTCATATTTGTCCCAGAGAATCCGAGCCACTGTGAACACGCAGGAGCAGAAGAGGTTGTTGATGGACCTGGACATCTCCATGAGGACAGTCGACTGCTTCTACACAGTCACCTTCTACGGAGCCCTCTTCCGTGAGGTACTGACCTGCTGGGTGCCTGGGGGCACCTGGGGCTGTGGGACTGCACTGGAGGCACTAAACTGTCCCCAAAACACCTCTGTGTTCTTCAGCCCAGCTCTTTATCTCCCTTGGATTTCCAGGGAATTCCCTCTCAGCTGCTTTCTCTCCATCTGCAGGGTGACGTGTGGATCTGCATGGAACTCATGGACACTTCCCTAGATAAATTCTACAAGAAAGTACTGGAGAAGAAGAAGACCATCCCTGAAGACATTTTGGGGAAAATGGCTGTGTCTGTGAGTGGCTCTTGAGTCCCTTAGATGAGTTTGTGCATGCCCTGAGCCTGCTGGAGGCCTCTCCTGAGGCTGGTGGTGTGTTTGCAGTGAGGGGCTGCTGCTGCCTGTGACTGATGGGTGCTTTTTCACTCTTTTATCCCCAGATTGTACGAGCTCTGGAGCACCTGCACAGTAAACTGTCTGTAATCCATAGAGGTAAATGCTGGATGGGGTTAGTGGAGTGTGGCTGGAGATTCAACCTTGAAATAGGCTAGGGGAGGACACCTTTCCAGGTGTGCTGTGTCCCTGTGGGATGCCTAAAGTGGAATCTGCTGGTGCTTGGGACTGTGGTGAACAGATCTAGGTGCTTGTTTCTGAGGTGCTTCCCTTTTTGCAGGGTGTTGTTCTCTTCCTCCTTTCCAGATGAATGTAACAACAGAATTCCTCACTACCTGTATTTTCTGAGCATCTCTGTCCCTCTTGGAGTACAGAAGTGCCTTGAAGGCAGCTCTTGGAGATAAAATCCCCAAATCCTCCTGGCTGGGTAGTTTTAGCATAGTGGGGGCTGAAGGAGACCTTACAAAACCACAGATGGGAATTGTAACACCCAGGTCTTGCTCTCCATCCTGGTAAAGTCCCTTGTGTACTTGTGGACAGATCAGGATGTGCATGAGACAAACTCTTCTGAAGATTTGGTAGAGCTGTGCTGGGCACATAAATCTCTCCTAAGGAGTTGGGGATAAAGTCCTCAACACTTTATTTCAACCTTTTGACCTGCCTGGTTGGAGACAGGACTTGTTCTCCCTAAGGACATGGTTGTAGTTCACCTGTGAATGACTTTTATTGCAATAAGCCTGCTGGGGTTTTGTCTCCCTTCCCCTGTGTTGGGGCCTGCCTGCTCCCTCCCAAGCCTGCAGGGAATTGCCTGTTTCATCTCAGACTCTTCAATACCCCTGAACAAGCCCAATTTTCCCTCTTGCATTTCCTTAGACGTGAAACCTTCCAACGTGCTGATCAACAAGGAGGGGCACGTGAAGATGTGTGACTTTGGGATCAGTGGCTACTTGGTGGACTCTGTTGCCAAGACCATGGATGCTGGCTGCAAACCCTACATGGCTGTAAGTGCAACCCTGTGCAGCCTCAGCCCTGACTGTAAGAGGCTGCTGCTTAGAAATCAGTCTGTTCCACCTCCACCCTGAGAGAAAAGCCACTCAAGAGTGCTCTGGTCTCCCTGACTGAGCAGAGCCTCCCTTGAAGCCCAGCTCCGTGTTAATCTCACAGTGACTCTCCCTCTGCCCCTTCCATTTGCAGAAGGATACAAAACTGGTTGTGGCACTGCTTCTTGTTGGATAGAAAGTGCTGAGGCTTTTCTTGGCAGGATCGTTCAGTTTCATCCTCAAGTCAGTATGAATTTCCCTTTGCCATCTGTGGCATCCATGTGGGAAGTGTGTGCTCCTGAGGCAGGGATCATGCAAGTCTCACTCTCCTGCAAAGAGAGAGAGTTGATGTGAGTTGTGTGGAGCAAGATTTGTCTTTCATCAGAGCTAGATTTAACCTCAGACCTTGCCTCTCTGGGGACATGAGCCAGGGAAATCCACCCAGCCTGACTTTTGGAGCCAGAGATGTGCTCTGTGGGGTTTGCACTGGGAAAGGAGCGGTAACACCTCCCATTTTGCTGTTGCAGCCAGAAAGAATAAACCCTGAGCTGAACCAGAAGGGCTACAACGTGAAGTCGGATGTCTGGAGCCTTGGGATCACGATGGTAAGGCCAAGGGCTGGGATCTGTGTCTGCAGCCCCGGGGTTGGGATGGGGATTGGGCAGGTGGAGCTGTGCCCTGCTGGGAGCAGTGGGGTTGGGTGGGTGCCCATCAAGCAGGACTCAATTTGAGCATGACAGCTCAGGGCAATGAGGTTAATTACCCAGGGAATTCAGGCTCCCAGCAGACAATATCAGGATGACAATGAGTATCCACACTGAGTATCCAAGAGTCTGGCTATTAATTGCTCTGCAGTTCCCTTCCTGCTGGCTGAGGTGTGGTCAGTGGAGCTGGGGCTCACCTTTCCTGCTTCACCCCTCCATGTCACCAGAGCCTTGCAGGGGATTCCAGTCCTGCTGCAGTGAGAGCTGCTGTGTGTGGTTTGCAGCAAATCCTGCCTGCGGGGTAGCTCAGAGCAGCCAACAGGAAGGGGAAATGCTTTCAGTTCCAAAATTGCAGCTGCTTGGGATGGTTTAATCTGCCTCCTGCAAGAAACAGATCTTGCAGGAAGCAGCTGAGATCCTCTGGCGCCAGCGGACAAAGGAAATCCCAGCTGTTGGCTCCAAGGGATGCTGCCAGAGAAACAGCTCCTGCTTTCCAGGAGACTCTCTCTCTCTGAGGGTAGATTATTTTCAGGAATTTTTCCTGTGCCCTCTTAGCCGTGGCTTTTATTTTGGGGGCTGCATCCCTGTGTTTGTGCATGCTGTGTCTTGGTAAATATTCCCTCTTCCCCAGCGTGGTTTCATCCAAACCCAAGCCCTTCTCCCTGGTGTCCCCATGCCAGTGCAGAGCTGGTCTGGCTGACTGGAAATGTCATCAGCTCTGAGCTGCAGGAAGCTGTGGGATGGGAGACTCTGAGTGATGGAATATCCAAACCTTTCCAAAGCTGGAAGGGAGAGGACACCTTGCTGGCAGCTGGCCAGCCTGCAGCTGAATGGAGCCACAGAATGTTTGGTTCCTTCTCGTGTCTTCCTCCTGGGGTTTTTTAGGTTTATTTTCTTTATGAAGGGGTTGGATTGATTTCAGACCGTTGCAGGGCTGTTCCAGGCCTTCATAGGCTGGTGGCTTCATTCAGTTTTGCAGCAGCAGGAACTGAGCTCCCTTGACCTGAGCCAGAGGCAGGGAGGGACACTGGGCTCTGTCCTTTCAGGTTTGTTATTCCTTCCATTCCATCACACCCTACCAGGCAGGTCTCAAGGTTCTGTTGCCCATTTTGAGACAGGAACTGATCCTTGGCTTGAGGAGACTACCCAAGAGCTGTGACTGACTTTTTCCTGCCTTAAATGAGGGATGGAGCAGAGTTGACTTGTAGGAAGAACCCAGTAATTGAGGTGGTTTTGGCAAAACTACGTTCTAGCACTTAATTTTTCTTGGGTTTGTGGATTTTTTGTGTGTTTAGCTCATGCAGTGCCAGCCTAAGGCCCAGGGGCTGCCTTAGAGCCAGCAGAGTACTTTGGAAGCCAGTGCAGAAACTGTGTTATCTTTTTAAATAATCCCATTTTACATATCTTTTGTGACTTCCTGTAAATGCATTAATATGCTGAACCAACCTCAAAAGGAAGTATTTTTGGCCTCTGGGTCTTTGTATTAAAAAAAAAAAAATTTAAAAAAAAAAAAAAAGGTGGTATGACCCAAATTGAAAATGATTTGTAAGGAAAGAGGGTTTGAGGGTTTTCCTTTGAATCTGAGCTGGCTGAGCATGGTGGGGCTGTGCTTGGTGTGTGTCTCACGTTGCCCTGCCTCTACCCCCAGATTGAACTGGCCATTCTCCGCTTCCCGTACGAGTCCTGGGGGACGCCCTTCCAGCAGCTCAAGCAGGTGGTGGAGGAGCCCTCGCCCCAGCTGCCCCCTGAACGCTTCTCCAAGGAGTTTGTGGACTTCACAGCACAGTGGTGAGGCTCCAGCAGGGCCTGCTGGCTCTCCCAGCCTGCCTGAGGAGGAGCCCTGACCCGTAGGGGTTGGAGTGGAGCGTGGGGCTGGATTTGCTGTCCCTTGGGAACCCATTTCTGCCCTCCTTGCTGTACCTGGTGCTCAGCATGGCAGGAAGCACTGCCCAAACTGGTTTTGCTCTCAGCCTGACTCACCCAGGCTGGCTGGAAGATGCAGAGGTTTCTCTTCCCCTTTTCCTGTCGCTGCTGCTGAAATGTTGGTGTTTTCTGGCAAAGTGGCAGTGAAACCAGAACCAACCCCTGGCAGCCTTTGGGTGAAAGCTGCTTTGTGGTTTTGTGGGAAACTGCTCCCCCCGGGGTGTCCCCTCTCCCTGGGTGCTGCCTGGAGCTGCCAGGCAAAGGCAAGCTCACCCTGCAGGTGCTGGGAAACCATATCCTCTCCTTCCCAGTTGTTCTGCTCTGTGTGGGACAGACTGCAGAGCTGCTTGGCTTGTGCTTTTTGTGACAAAACACTGAGTTGTCCTTCCCCAGTTACCTGCCTGGCTGCTTTGCTGGTGGTCCAAACCTGCTCAGCCAAGCAGGGAGAGGGATGGGTGCAGCCCACAGGAGGCATTTCATGTCGGGTGGGAAGGGGAGATCCCCTATGATAGACCAGGTACAGCAAAAGAAAAAGATCCTACAGCCTTTCTGTCCCATTTCTTTTTCCTTCCAGCTTGAGGAAGAACCCAGCTGAGCGAATGAACTATTTAGAACTTATGGTAAGCACAGAGCTGCTTCTGCTGGTCTTTATTCCCAGTTTTGAAACTCAGATCAGTGGTCCAGCAGGGAAATGGGACAACATGTGGGTGACTTTTCAGGCATGGAGTGGGATGGGTGTAGTGTGTCAGAGGTGGAAGGGTGGGTTCATTTCATGGGTGTTAAGGTCAGGGTTTCCAGGTGTTTTCTCCCTCTGTCCTGTCTGCTCTTGGACCTGGCAGGATGGTAGTACAGCTGCCAAGGTGGGGTGTCCTGCTGGGGCTGAGCTGAGAAATGCCAAAGTTCATCTTTTAGCTGAAGAATGGTGTCCATGGGAGTTTGGGGAGATGGGTGGAGTCCAGATCCAGCTGTGTGACGTGTCCTGGGGTCTGTGCTTGGCCTTGGTGTCAGCTGACGTTTTCTTTGATCTCGTTGGCAGGAGCACCCGTTCTTCACCTTGCACGACACCAAAGAGACTGACATGGCCTCCTTTGTGACAGAGATCCTCGGGGAAGACTCCTAACTCCCAGCTCCCTGCAGTCCCTCCATCCTGGCTTCCCCACAGGAGAGGACTCACGGTGCTTTGCACAAATCACAAATCCACCTCCCCGGCCTGGGGGCATCTCTGGCCCCAGCAAAATCTCTTTTCTCTTTGCCCTGAGAAAAAAATTCCTCCAGGAGGAGCCTTTTGAAGCCAACACCCTCCCAGCCAAGCCAAGGACTCTGAAGGCTCAGGAGGTGCCTGGAGAGGAGCAGTGCCTGAGCAGGCAGAGGGTGCCAGAGGCCACCTCCCCTCCCCAGTACCCAGAGCACAGGACAGGGGGTTGTGTTCCTTTGCTGTCAGGGGGAGACAGAGAGAATCAGTGCTGCTGTGCTTCTCCCACTCCTCTCCTGCCTGTCCAAAGCCACTTCCCTGGAGTCTGGTCTCACCTGCCTTCCCTCTGTGCCTGGCTCTCTGCCCCCAGGAGCCCACACAGCTTTAGGGGCTCGTGGGGCTCTCTGGGCTGCTGCTCACACCTGAGGCTGTTTGAATGCCTGGCTCCACACCAAGGACACCTCGAGGCAGCACCAGCTCGGGCATCCCTCTCCCTCAATCAATGCTGCTCTCTTGAGGAGAGGCAAAAAGGCATTTTTCCACGAGCCCGCTGTGCTACAAGCTGCAGCCCACGCTGTCCCCACGCCTGCCCGTGGGACTTCACCCAGCACCCATCCCTTCCCTCGTGGGCACAAGGTGATGGAGACACAGCAGCTGCCCCAGGCTGCCTCTCCTCCCTGTGGCCCTGGGCTGGGAGGACACATCCCTGCCCCGGGCATCGCCTTCTGCAGCCCTGGCTGCCTCTGCCATGTGGCTCCCTGAGAAGCCTCTGCTCCATCTGCCTTCCAGCCTGGAGCTGCTGTCAGACCTCGCACTGTGACACTGTTCCAGAGGCCGAACTCGCACCCCTGGTGTCCCAAACTGTCCCCAAGCCCTGCGGGTGCCAGCGAGAGCCAAACCCCGGGGCCTGGCCCGGGGCTGCCGACAGTTGTACATTTGATGTCTATATATAATGGACTTTGTAACGTGTTTCCTAGGTTTGATCTAACTCGCTATAAATTAAAGCCCTTCTGTGTGGGAGGAGGGAGGAGCAGTTCCTTCTCTGCTGACAAATCCACTGTGAAAACCTGATGTGTTTCCCCAAGCTCCCAGCCCGAGGAGCAGGAGGGGTTTCTGGCTTCTACTGTACATGATCACGGATAAACACACCGGCTGTGGATTTTGGTTTGGTTTTTTTTTTTTTCTTTTTTTTTTAATAATTGAGTTTTTCTGAAGGATTTTTTTTCTTTTCTAATATATATTTGTGTGTGTGTATGTGTGCTCTATATATTATATATTTTTAAATCAATGATGAATGTGTGGATGTCTATGTGGCCAGCAGATCTGGTGTAATAACATTTTTCTGGCTAAATTTGGGCAGGTGGGGAAGGGGTCACTAGAAAACACTCTGGTCTAAGAATACATTCTTTTTCTTTCTTTTTTTAAAGAAATGCATCTATTTTTTAACTGAATCTTTTAAAAATGTTATTCCTGAAATTCATGCCCTGGAGGTCTGGATTTCAGGGTGAATTTCTAGTGTTCAGGGTCCCCCACAATGAAGAATGATGTCCCCTTAAATTCATTATCCCCCTCCTGCAGTCCAGGGTTTGACACAGTGCTGGGGAACCCCTGCCTGGGAACTGGGCTGCTCCACACCATCTATCCCCACGAGCTGCTCCTGGGAAAGCTGCTTTGGAGCAAATGTTTTTCAGCCCTTGATGTATCACACAGCCAGGCTTTTCCTGTGCCGTCCCTCTGATCCCCCTCCCTGAGTCAGCAAACCCTGAGGAACCCAGCCCAGGTGGAGCTGCACAAACCCTGTTACAGCTTCAGTTCGACCCTGACCCCCCAGCCCACCTCTGGATGGAAAATAAGGGAGTGATTGATGTTCTCCATGTCTCCCTCCTCCACATCCTGCTCTGCAAACCACCCAACACTCACCTGTACCTGCTTGGTTTGACAGCTTTGCTGCCGAGATGTACAATTGTATTTTTTTTCATAGTTGGTTACTTTGGATTATTTTTGTTTTGAGTTGAGCTTTTGGGTTTTCTCCCTTCTCTCTTTGTTTAAACCTTCTTCCCCTTTATCTCACCCTTTTTTGGTGCTTTGGGAAATGGTGTTCGTTTTTTAAAAAAAAAAACTTTTTTTTTGCATGCTTTTTTTTTCTGCATTTCTCCTGGAGAAAATCCTGATTTCTGTGGTTTTGGATAATGGAGCATCTGCCCTTTCAAGCACAGGGGAGATGGCTCTGGGGTGGGCTTGGGCCCCTGTGGATGAGCTGAGGCTTTGCTGAGGAGGCAGACACACCACATCCTCCCTGTGCCATCTCCTCTGCTTCATTCAACACAGGTCTTACCTGTCCAAATCCCGTGTCCCTTTTCCCTTCCCTGCTTCCCTGTCCCACCTCCTTCCCTCTGCAGTGGCAGTTCCCTGGGGGATAACCAGCTTGGCTTTAAGGTGGGCAAGGATTTTGACTTGCATGGGAAGCCCCTCTCACCTTATATTTTTGGGAATGATCTGTACCCTCAACCCCCATCCTTGTTTCCAATAAAACTCACCCTCAAACCTGCTGCTTGTCTCCTCTTGCTGTTTGAGCATCAGCTTGGAGGGGGATCCCGCTTTCTCCTCATAGTGTGGGGTGATGCTCCTCCTGATTTGGGGATTGTACGAGCTGTGACCCTTGGGATGGGATCCCTGGAGCAGCTGCCCAGACTGGGGGTGCAGGAGGCTGTGGGGGGCCGCTGGTTCCAGTCTGGGGTTTGCACAGCACGGGAACCCCAACTCAGCATCCCACGGGTGGGACCCCGGGAGCGCTGCCAGGGGGTGCCCGGGGTTCTGCTGCTCTTGCTGCCGGGCTGGAGGGTGAGGCTGTGGGTTTTTGGGGCAGGGGGAGGCTCACAGGGCTTGGGGATCCCCTCCAGTCCAGGGTCCCGGGGCAGCCGGCGCTGCCCGCGGCCGCGAGAGGGAGGCAGCGCCCGGCGGGACGGGCCGGGATCCGCGGGGTGAAAATACACCGGGATACACCGGGAGGGGCCGGGATCCGCGGGGTGAACATCCACCGGGACACACCGGGATCCGCGGGGTGAAAATCCACCGGGACACACCGGGATCCGCGGGGTGAACATCCACCGGGACACACCGGGATCCGCGGGGTGAACATCCACCGGGACACACCGGGATGAGCCTGGATCCGCAGGGATGAGCCCCCCCTTTCCATCCCAAGCTGCTGTGATCCCCTCTCTCGGCACCTCCCAGCCCTTCCGGAGGATGTGCAGCCGGGATTAGGGATCCAGGATCGTGCCCGTGGGGGATGATGTAGGATTGATTCCGTGCAGGAATCCTCCAACAGGATGGAGCTGCAGGTTTGGCACGGGACTGGGAGTAAGGAAACAGCTCCCTTCCCAAATATTTTCCCTGTCAGCCCTCCTCAGGCAGGATTAGGCCAGGGACACATTGTCCCCCAAGCACCGGGATCTTGCTGGCGATGCTTTTGACCTGGAAATGAGGCCGGGGGCGGGGGTGGTGGGGGTTCAGCGGTGCTGAGGAGAGCAGGGACCCCAGGAACACCCATCCGTGTGGGTGGGGACACGCTCAGAGAGGGGGCCCGACCTGCTGGGAGCTGGTGTCTGCTCTGTTCCAATTACCAGCTTAATAGCTACATCGAGACCATTAAAAATGCATCAGTGCCTCCGAGGAAAGAACTTCAGGAGAAGTGGAAAATTCATCACTTTGAGTTCCCTTATTAGGAGAAAAGGTGGGTTTTTTTCCCCCCATTTGTCTCAAACTGAGGCAAAAAGAGGTTATTTCTGCCTGGTGACTCCCCCATGGGACTGTCACGAGGTGCGAAGAGGCAGTGCCCAAACCTGGGTGAGAAGGACACAGCTCCTGCTGCAGAGAAGGGAAAGCTCAGCACATCCAGCAGGCATGGGGACCATCAGGGCTGCAGCAGCTCAGTCTTCCTCAGATGAAGGACCAACAGCTCTCCCTGCCCTGGGCCCTGTGCTGAGAACGTGTGTTGGGAGTGTGTTGTGATAATGAGCGATGCAGGGACCGTGGGCAGGTGTAAAGGAGTGCTCTTCATTGCCAAAAACCCCAGGCAGGTGTAAAGGAGAGTTCTTCACTGCCAAAAACCCCAGGCAGGTGTAAAGGAGTGTTCTTCACTGCCAAAAACCCCAGGCAGGTGTAAAGGAGTGCTCTTCATTGCCAAAAACCCCAGGCAGGTGTAAAGGAGTGCTCTTCATTGCCAAAAACCCCAGGCAGGTGTAAAGGAGTGCTCTTCATTGCCAAAAACCCCAGGCAGGTGTAAAGGAGTGCTCTTCATTGCCAAAAACCCCAGGCAGGTGTAAAGGAGTGCTCTTCATTGCTAAAAACCCCAGGCAGGTGTAAAGAAGAGCTCTTTATTGCCAAAAACCCTGGGCTGGTTGCAAAGGAGAGTTCTTCACTGCCAAAAACCCGGCCTTTTAAAGCAGTTAGCCAGTTATCATGGTTTTAAGGCACAACATGGTTACATGGGTATATAGTTTTTTAAAAAAAAAGCCCAAGTCAACCAACCACCATACACCACGCAGTGGACATGTCATGCAGAATGTCTCTCACATCTCTGTACCCCTATTCCAGCTGAGTCACTCCCCCACAGCTCCCTTCTCCTTAGCCTAAGTAACAGGCTGGAGCCGTGTTACAAGACCCCCCCTTTATAAAGCCTTAACACGAGCAGTCCCTCTAAAAGGGCAGACCCCAGAGTGCTCCCCCAGTACAGTGCAGGTGTTTGTACTGGTCATACTGGTCCTTTGCAGGGGTGGTTCCTCAGGAACTGTAGTGGTAGGACAAGGAGTAATGGGTTCAAACTGAAAAGGGGAAAATAAAGGTTTGAAACACGTAAGAAATTCTTGGCTGTGAGAGTGGGGAGGCCCTGGCACAGGGTGCCCAGAGAAGCTGTATCTGCCCCATCCCTGGAAGTGTCCAAGGCCAGGTTGGATGGGGCTTGGAGCAATCTGGGGTGTAGTGGAAGGTGTCCCTGTGCATGGCAGGGGGTTGGAACTGGGTGATCTTTAAGGTCCCTTCCAACCCAACCCCTTCTGTGCTTCCATTCTGTGGTGGTTCTCTCCAGGAGCTCCTGAGCAGGAGCTCACACTGTTCCTAAGAGCCGTGTGCGGAGGAGGGCTGGCTAATGGATTAGCAGGAGGTGTGATGATGCAGCCAGTTTTCTGGGGCTGAAGGTTATTTATTTTGCTTAATTTTTCCTTTTCTTTTTTTTCTTTTTTTCTTTTTTCTTTTTTTTCAGATGGTGGCTGAGCCCGTATCTAGGACAGGGGTGGTTTTTTTTGGTTCGGGTGGCCTGTGAGCACCTTGTCGCTCGATATTGTAAATTAGCGAGTTCACCCAGGCCAGGGGTTTGTACAAGATGTGTTCAATCCTCCCCTAATAACTGCCTCACCCAGAAACTTCCCAAGCTCTTGTATCACCTAAGCACTAATGAGCTGAAGCTGCAGAATAGCAATGAGACCTCAGGAATATAGATCAGCCTTTCCTGGCCCAGCCAGAGGCTCTAAAATCGTTTCAGCTGGTGCCCAGAGGGACCAGTGCAGCCCAGCTGGGAGGGAAGGGTTTAAGTGAGGTGTGTTGGGTGGAGAAGCCTTTGCTGCCCATGAGGAGCTGCTGGGGATGTCTCCCAGCTCTCCTCTCCAAATACAAGTGTAGGTGGCTTGTGTTGAGGTGAGGAGGGCTCAAACTCTGGTTGAATCCTGGTACCCAGGTGTGTTGGTGCTCTGCTTTTTCCCCTGATAATTAATCATCCCTGGCAATGAGTTTTTATGTTTTGTTTTTGCTGTTGCCTCGGACAAAGCATCTCCAAGTCCTTTCTGCCTGTCCCAGCAGCGTGGTTTGCACATCCAGCCCCAGAGTGTGTGTATTTACAGAGTGAGTTGTGCCACCCATCCATGCACAGCTGCTATGCTACTCCATCCCCTGGGAATTGCACAGGACCAACAGCAACTCCCCATCACCGGGGTGCTGGGAAACTGGGGTGATTTCTGCTGGAGTGTTGGAATCTGTGGGTATTGGTGATTCCGAGATTGTAGAAAGTCTCTGTCTTTCTGCCCCGTTGCCAAAGCAGAAGCCATAATTCATCTGTGCTGGTTTCAAGGTTGTTTATTCTGTTTATCTCTAACATGTTCTGCTGCCCTGCCGCAGCTCTGTCCTGCAGGGCAGCGTGTGGGGCTCTGCCCTCAGTGGGATGGTACAAACATTAAATACCAGAAACTACGTGTACTATATTTACAATAATGTGCCAATATCTATCATCTACATTGAACAGTGTGTCCCCAGCCTAAACCAACAGAAAAGTGCCAACACCACAGTGAAACACGGAGGGCATGAAGAAGGAGGAAAAGGACACAACACACCCAATTTCCTCCATCTTGTCCCCTCTGAACCCCTAATCTAGAAACTTAAAATTTTACTTTTGCACCCGTGCCACACTTAATTATTACTCTTATCAAACACTCAAAGCTTGTAATTCATCCTGTAAGATTGAAAACTCCTCTCCATGGACAGAGATCACAGACAGTGTCTCTCGGGGCTCTGTACAGGGGGTTCCTGACCCCTGCCAGGGTCCCAGACCTGCCAGGGCAGCCAGAGGGAAGCCCTGGATTCCCACACTGGAGCCCCAAACCACGGGGAAAACTCCTGGCTTGCTTAGCAATATCAACCTCCAGCCTTCCCTCTCAGCTTGAAATTGATTTTTCAGAGGAGGGAATGCTGGTGGGGGAACGTGGGGGTGGGAGAAGGAAGCCTCAGCAGCGCAAAGCCTGAAAATATCAGAGCTTGGCGGCAGCGCTCCGGGGGTGAGCGGGGAGGTCAGTGCCAGGCGGGGAGCCCCGGTGTCCCGGTGGGTTTGTGGGAGCCTTTCCAGCCCCTCGCACGCTGCGCTGACCTTTCTGGAAATGCCAAGCGGAGCTGTTTATTTCCAGACGCCGGGCGCTGCAGGCACATAGGCAGGGGGCTGAGAGCCACGGTGGCTTTTGCACCTGATTTACATCTCAGGCTGGAGCAGGAGACAGAAACCTTGATGAGCCAATGCTGCTACCTTGATATGAGCTGTGCTTTCCTCAGTGTTATTCCCCGCTCAGGGCCGCTTGTTTCTCCTGGAGGGATGATATTTCCCCCCCATCTCAGCCCCTAAATTATCAGGCTAGCCCAGAGATCCGAGGCTTTGAGGGGAGGAATATCAGGAGATAGGCAAAGATTTCCAAAAGAGGCTCTTACCCCGATGTATGTTGGTGCAGCTCTCTTTATTCTGTGATGTCCATGGGGAGAGTGGGGCAAAAGAGGACGAACAGGAAATGTCAGGGGTTTATCCAAGCTTTGGACAGGGAGGGCTCCTTGACTCTGTGCTAACCCTGTCAGGGCAGGAAAGAGGGGTCCAGGGTTATCTGATCAGAGTCACAGGGGTCCCAGGGAATGGGGAAAAGGCATGTCCGAGCTCACTGTAACAGGTATGCACTCCTTTCCTCTGATTGAAGCTGGGATTTTACAAATAAACCCCGAGGTTTCAGACAAAAGCTCTGGCTTGGGTCCCAAGCTGCCACGAATGGTGTGTGGCTGCTCTGAGCACCACTGCCCCGCTCAGTGAGGCGATTAATTCGCTTTTCCCAGGTCATCCCGACCCTCTGCACGGGCTCTGCAGAACATCACGCCTGCACCAGGTCCCGTTCCGTGCCGGCCACCAGGAGCTGAGAATGATCCCGAGGGTCCCCCAGGATGTGCCTGTGGGTCGGGGGGCCCTGGCTGTGGCAGGAGGTGTTTGGCTGCTGTGCTGCTGCCCCATCCCCGGCAAAGGGAGCCTCAGGGATGCTCGGTGCCATGGCTCTGTAAATACCCAGCAGCTGCTGGGAATCAATACGGGAGTGACCAGCAGCGTTGTTGGGTGGAATTTTGGGAGCCTGGGAGAAGGAGTGTGGAGGTGCTGGTGGCTCCCAGGGCTGTGCTGGTGTGAGGTGTAGAGGTGACACTGGGATTTCTCAGGCAGTGCTGCCTCCAGCTTGTCTTCTCACCCCGTTTTTTTAGGGGTTGTGGGGTTTTTTTAATGCTGTGCCTCTTTTCAGGAACCTCTCCAAACAGCCCAGAAGTGGACTGGGGGTTCTGGTGACTGCACCCCGCTTCCCAAAGGTTTCTTTTGGCTCAGAGGGGGTGAGCTGGAGTCAGGACCTTCAGCTGTGAGGACCCTCCGGCCTCTCCCTCAGCTTTGCCATAGCTCAGAGTGGAATCCGCAGGAATTTGGGTTTGCTCTAGGCTGGAGCACCTGATTGCCCTGTGGGGAACCTTCCAAGACTGGAAGGTTGGTTTTAGGGGTGCAGGGCAGCCTCTGTGACCTGCATTTGGGGGATCCTTCCCCTCGGGGAGTGGGGCAATGCCTGCCAGGGCTGTGATGGGGGGGTCTGCCCTCCCTGAGCCCCAGCAGCAGCAGGACGTGTCCTTTGTCATCATCCTGCCCCACCCTGAGTTTCTTTAATTACAGCTTTGTGAGAGATCTTCCCCTTTATTCCCCCAAATCTGCTCCTTAATTAAAATCTTCGATCTGGGCCAGCGGGAAGCAGCTGTTGCCTCTTTGCAGTGTCTCGGGTGTGTTGCAAGCTGCCAACCTGATTGTGGGCACACAGGGACAGTGCAGGGTCAGGGAGCACTGCCATTGTCACTGTCCCACCTGGTGAGGCCGAGGGGAGCTGGCTGCTGGCACCAGCCTTGCCCTGCCCTGCCCTTGGTGAGGGCTGAAATCATCTGAGCTGCGAGTGGGGACCAAGCACTGGGTCCCTCTGCGTCCTTCCCACTGTGGAGCCCTTCCAGTGTCCAGGGTCTGGCTGTTGGGAAGGCCCCAGGGGTGTAAAAGTCCTTGTTTTGCAGCCTGCACAGCCAAAGGAGGAGTCTGAATGTGCAGGGTTGGCTTCTCAAGGTTGTTTATTTTCCTTTATCTATAACATTCTTCATCTGACCTGCTGAGCTCTGTTTGGCAAGTCCACCATGGCATTCTGTCCCCAGTCTCAGGCGGCGTTTATGTTTTATACTAAAAACTACATGTACTATGTTTAAAATAATGTGCCAATATCTATCATTTATGTTGGACTGTGTGTCTGTGCCTTAAACCAACAGAAAAGTGTCACCATCACACCAAGACATGGAGGGCAAGAAGAAGGAGAAGGAGGCCAGGACACACCCAAATCCCTCCATCTTGACCCCCTGAACCCCACCCTAAAATCCCCAAAATTCTACTTTTTCACCCTGTGTTAATTCAACTACCACACTACTCAAACCCTTGTGGCTTGTAATTCCTCACACAAAGTTGGCAGCTTTTCCCATGGGCTAAAATCGAAGCCACGGGGGGTTTTGACTTCGTGCCAGGGTCTGGAGCCCCTGCCAGGGTCTGGAGCAGCCAGAGGGATGTGCTGGGATCCCACACCAGTGGGGCTGCAAATGGCCTGAGTGCAACGAGCCCAAACCTGGTTTGGCTTTGCCAGCTCCTGATCTGGAGAAGGGCTGGATGGTGCAGGTGGATGAAGGCGAAGCTGGGGCTGTTCCTTGAGTTTTGTCCCTGCAATCCATGATGTGTCTGGCCAGGGGCAGCTGTTTCTCATTCCTCCTGTCCTTCAGAGCAAGCTCTGGGAACCCTGCAGGACCCAAATCTGTGGCTGGCACCTCACAGGGCTCGTGGGACACCCCTGCCACCCCCGTGTCCCCATTCTCGCCACAGCTTGGGGACATTCCCTGCCACGGCCTCTGCAGCCTCCTGATGTTTTCTCCCAGAATTAGCCCAGGGAGGGGATTTTACCCCTCCCTGCCTGCTCGGGGTGGGCGTTCATGCAGAGATCCATCGTCAGAGCAACGGGGAAGCATCAGGAACAATTAGTGAGCTGGTGGTGTCAGCTTGATCACAGCTGATGTGTCTCTTCTTAATAAAACTTGTGCAAGAGAAAAGCGGGGAAAAAAGGAAAAGGCTGCTGACAACAGATGTATTATTTCACCTCAGATTTACTGGTGCATGCATTTTTCATTCATGGAAGAGGCTGATATGCAGATTTATACAGAGCAGAGCAGGTACAATCCTTCGTGGATCAATTCCTGCAGCAGGCTTAGGAGAAAAGGACTTGGCTGAGCAAAAAGCCATGAGAGGCACTTCCCAAAGCCAGCCCCAAATTTGTGCCCAAGATGGGCTAGAAGGTCAATAATTTTTCCCCTCTCCCCCCCAAAATCTACACTCTTCAGCCCAAATTCTATTTTTGTTTTTGGCCAGGGGAGACTTCCACTGACAGTTACAGCTTGCCTTTTCCCTGGGTTCACTTTGTTCTTCTTCCAGCTCTGCTTTGCTGAGGGCTTGGTGCCCCCGGGGTGGCTTCACCCCTACCCTGTTTTGGAGAGGCTGAATTTATATTATGGCCAATATATATATATTAAAAATATATAAAAAATTCTATTATTTATATTGAGATGGCTTTTTCAGGAGACCCTTCTGTGTTCTGGCCCCTTGGTCACCAAAGTCATACCTTGAACCTCAACACCAGAGCCAGGTGTCTCTTATGGTAGCTAAAATTTGGCCTCCAGACGTGTCTGAAGCTCTTCTCCTTCCATACACAGCATGTTGTGGTTTCTCTGTGATTTGGGGGGCTCTGCTCCCCTGGGGGAGGACGCTCTCTGGAAGCCAAGTAGAATTTAATCTCCCTGTAGTCATGAAAGTGAATCCAAGAAAAGTATTTGAGGTGTTTTTCCCTCTCATTAGGAATGGAAGACAGGAGTCTTCTGTCTTCTGGGTACTATACAACCAGCATGAATTATTTAGGACCAAGCATCTCTCCGATAAATAATTTTTTTATGTGGGGAGATTAAATCTGAATTTTAAAAAAAATATAATAAAAAAAGCAATTTCTCTCTCGTAAGTCCTCATATTTCACCCAGCAAAGAGATCCCAGGCATCCATTCGTGTATTGATCAGCAAATAGGTCCTTTTATAGATTTAGTTCACCCAACCTTGTTTAATTTTGGATTCATTGATTCAATGCAAAGATGTAGATGAAAAGCAAGTGGGCTGTTTCCAGTGCTGGTGATGCTATTTTTAAATAAATCTAGTGCATGCTAAAATAAATATGCAAAACATTTTGTAAGGCCGCGTACGGGTGGGGAGACCAGATGTACTAAAATATTTAACAAACTTTTTCCTGATTTCTCGAAATGAATGTTTTATTTACTAAACACCAGTGGAATTTAATCTCACCCAATGTTTGCTCTGACCCATTGTCTGGGGTGAGCAGGAATGTGGGACCTTGGAGGAACTGTCTGTGCAGTGACATTGGTGGCACATTTAAATGCAAAGCTCATTAACCGTGTCTGGGATTTTTTGTTTGTTTCTCCCTTTTTTTATGTTCACGTTCCTTACAAGAGCAAGAGATGAAATACCCATCTACAATTCCCTTTCATCTCCAGGGATGTTTGGCTGGTGGGTTTTTTTTTCTCCTTTTCTGTTGCTCAGATGACAAAGTTTCTCATTTGGAATTTTATTTGATTTGAAAAGATGAGAAAGAATTAAAAGCGTCTTCAGGAGGTTGGGCTCACCTTACTCTATCCAGGATCCTTTATAAGGAGGATGAGTGACTTGGCAAAGGCTCCTGTCCCCAAAGGATGGAGTTCATCCCAGGGTCAGAGCTGCATCCTGGCTTTTCCTTCACCTGGGGTGACCATCCTGCAGATCCTACAGATCCCAGCCTGCTTTCCTGGGGAATGAAATCCTGCTCTGGGTGTCCGTGCCTGTCTCCTTCAAACCCTCTGCTTTCAACCCAATCAAATTTAATTGAATTGTGGTTTTGATCACATCTGACGGTGGCAGAGATCTTGCTGATAATCAGATTCCCGTGGGAGACGTGGAAAACGGGGCTGGTGGAGGAGGGAGGAGAGACAGGGGCTCGTGTGATGCCACCTGGTCCTCATGAGACACCAGGGAAGTGACACAGCAGCCAGGCTCTGTCCACTCTGGGGACAGTCACATTCTGGGGACGAGTGAATTAACTGAATGTCCCAGTGGGGGCTGAACCCTGCAGGTTGTGTTTGTTTGGTTAAGAAAAGGCAATTTTCCTGGCAAAACCTTCCACCTTGCTGCAGGCTGGAGCAAATCCAGCATCCCCTATCCAATCTGTCTTTGGACACTTCCAGGGGTGGAGAAGGAGGAGATCTATGACAGTGAACTGCCAGAGCAGGATGGAGGGCTGTAGTTGTGGGTGCACATGAGGAAAGAGAGACTCCTGCAAGGACCCTGCAGTGTGCTGGCTTGGTCCAGGAGAGGTAGCAGCAAGCCAAGAAACTCAAATATCCTGGCCAGAAGGATGAGAGAACATTGCCAAGACAAGCAGGTGCCCAACAGAGCAACTCTGGGCCTGGAGGAGCTGGGAGACGGGGGAAATCAGGAAAGGAACGCCGAGGAAAAAAAACCTGAGGTGTAAGGTGACAGCTAGAAATAGAAGGGAGCAAGTGATATTTGTATCAGAGGTATCCTGTGGAAGGCATGAAGGAATCCAGCCCTGAGATCCCCAGCTCCTCATGTTCAAGCCTTTCCTCTCAAACCCAGCATAAACCATCTTAAAGGCTCATCTCAGCTCGCCACGAGAGGATGGAGCTGGCCATGGCAGCTGGGCACTTCCACTGGTCCACTGGCTTGGTTCTGGTTCACACCTCCCCTGGTTTGGTTCTGATCAATAATGAGCTAATTAGTTGCTATGGCAATGTAATGTGGGAGAACTTTGGGGAGGAGAAATTATAGGTAATTTTTATTTGTTTGGACCCTGTTCCTATAGCAACAGGAGAACTTGTCACTGACTACCAGTTGGTTTCCATGGAGTTGGCTGCTAGTTCTGGGTTATTAATGCCTCCAAGCATAAAACAACTTACCTAGTAGGGCTGGTGGATTGTCCTCCATGCTCCATGGGAACTTTGCAGTTTGCCAAAGTCAGGGCCTGGCTCTCACAGTGGAATGTGCACCATCCCAAAAGTTGGACTGGACCGTTCACCATCAACAAACATAGTGCTGGAAGGATCAATTATTCTACCCCTCTCTTGTATTGAAGACATCATGGAATGAATAATCCATCACTTCGTAGCTTGTTCGACTCTCAGCATTGCCTGATTTTTAATTGGATTTTCTCTGTCTTCGGCTACAAGATGCTTGGCATTGATCTGCCTTTCTCTGCTAAATTAAAAAGTCTTTTAGCACCTGGCAGTTTTGCTGTAAAGGGACTTACTGTAATTAAGTTCCTTCTCATCTCACCAGGACTGGTTCTCCTGAATGAAGGTGTTTGTGTTCCTCCAGCCCCTCGCCTGACGCGTGCCCCGTTTCTGCACTCCTCCGAACAAAAGGGATGTGGTGTCTGCTTTGCAGAGGGCTGGAGCTCTGTCGAGGGACCTCTCAAACTCCTCCAGAAGCCGAGCCTTGGAACCAGACCAAACACTCCTGAGCACTGAAGAGACTGGATTTGGGAGAGATTGGTTTTATGATAGGTTGTAATTTCCCTCCCACCAGCTAACTCCTCAGCTTTCCATGGGTGATAATTACCCAGTAGGAGCTAAAATGTCTCTCCCCACTCCCCTCTTATCAACCCATTCTCCACTTTGAAGGCATCACCACTTCTTTTCCACTTCTTTCCTGGACAATCTCTCCGAGTGCCTGCGCATCCTCTGTTGTTCTGGAAGATGGTGCAACATCCACCACCTCTCCCCGTGGAGACCGATTCTCGCTCCGGCTTTGAAAGCAAATAATTTGATCAGCGTGTGGATAAACCTTCAATGATATTTGGCTGAGCGCACCACGCAGTCGGAAGGGAGGCACGAAGCAAAGGGCAGCTCCTCACAACCAGCCCTTCCTTGGATCTCTTGGCAAGCTCTGCTGCTGGCCCCCAGCTCTGCATGCTGTGCTCGCAGCTGCTCCGTCCCCGTTGGTGAGGCACAGCCCAAATGTCTCAAATGAGGGTGCAGACGGGGATGGAGGATGAGCCTGAGGATGAAGGCTGGCTGTGGAGACGGGAGGAAAGCCCTGAGCCATACAGGTGGGGTCTGGCTGGCAAAGACGGAAGAAAGGCTTCATCCAAGAGTTCCTGCATCTTCTTGGTGCCACTGGACAGATAAATTATGTAAGAAATCCCTCTGCAAACTCTGCGTTCATTCTTCCATATGTTTCTTTCCAACAGTGGAGGGAGAGGCTTGGAAGTTCAGTATTTAGGCAGCCTGCCATGATGGCTTTAGCAGAAGCTCTTGGATGGAGAGTGTTAGCTGGGTGAAGGGGGCATATCCAGCACACCAGGAACCCAGTCTGGGTTGGGAATCCAGGCTGGGAACCCAGGAGATGAGGGCAGGAGGTGACCTGCTGGGAATGCACCGCCTTGTCCCTGCCTGGGGGAAGCTGCTGAGCTCTCTCTGCCCATATCAGTGTCGTGGCTGTAAATAACAGGGATGTTCTGGGTGGTCACCTCCAGCCTGGCTGCGATCCATGACTCACCAGTTTCCTGTCCACAGCAATGCTACGGATTGACTCATGGCTATGGGAGTGTTTCACCCTGAGCCCACAGCCCTTTGATTTCACCAGGCACCCTTGTGTGTTTACAAACGAGAGGTCTCCATTTCAGGGCTGTGAAACCGGTGACAACCTGCGAAGCCGCGTGGCAGATGATGCTTCATCCTGAGCTTCACCTGGTTCTCCTCCTCCCCTTCCCTCATGTGTGGCTGGAAAGAAATGCTTCCTGGCTTGCTTTGAATTGCAGCTCTCCCAAGCTTCCCCTGTGTTGTTGCAGTCCCTTGAAAAATCATTTTTCCACTTAATGTCTCAGCCTTCCTGAGCCTGGAGCAGCCACAGCTCTACACCAGGGCAGGCATGTGGCCTCAAGGAGGTGTGGGAAGGCAGATGATGGGGTGGCCTTGCTCAGCCACTTAGAAGCTGTTTGAAACAGCATCTGAAGAGGGGTCTGAGCATGGAAACTACCCAACACCTTGGAGGGTGAGACCAGCCTTTGGAAAATGGCTTTGAGTCACAGAATCATGGAATGGTTTGGGTTGGAAGGACCTTAAGATCATCCAGTCCCAACCCCCTCATCATGGGCAGGGATTTGGTGCCCCTGATGACAATGGGTCTGTGCTGCTTTGCTCTGAGCATCTGTCACCATCACGGCACAGCAGGGGAAAGGATGGTGAGTGCCATGTCACAAGGTAAGGCTGCTGACAGAGGGATCCCTGCTGGCCAGAGGGATCCCAGCATCCCTGAGGGATGGCTCCTGGCATGTCCATGTAGGGCTCCTCTCCTCCAGCCCATGCCCGAGCTCTGAGGGACATGGTGGAGCCACCTCGGAGGGGTGTGATGGGAAAGGGTGGCGTGGCTGTGGTGAGCACTGGAGATCCCGCCCGGCTCTGCGGGGACTGTGGTGGGAGGGGGACGCAGGGTTTGTTTGTATGACACATGAGCACATGCTTTTACTCTGAGTAACCTTCTCCTGCCAGAGAACGGAGCCTTCTAGCGTGCCCTGTGCTCCCAGAGGGGTCCATGGCAGAGCCCTGGAGCCGTGGGTGTCGTGTCCTGGAGCAGGGCAGCCACATCCAGTACCTGTCCATGGCAGCAAGAAGGTGGCCATGGAGGAGCTCCATGCTGGGACAAGCCTGGGTGGCTACTCCTTGTCATCCAGCAACTCTGCCATGACTGTAACAGGCAGGTTTGGGTTGCTCTCCACAAAGTAGGCAAGACCTGTTTGGGTACAATGTTGTCTCAACCTCCTGCTCCAGGTTTCTGCTGTCCCCAGCCCTTTGTGACGCCTTCAGCCAGTTCTCCTGGGAGGTTTTCTAGTGCTGAGGTGTTCAGATGGGCTTATGGTGAAGCTTGGGGACCTTCCCAACACTCACCTCTGCTTCCTGACAGCCCCAGGATTTGTCCACACCCTAAAGGTCAAACAAACTTTAGAGGAACTGAATTAACCACAGAATGGTTTGGGTTGGAATGGATCCCAAATATCATCTCATTCCCACCCCCTGCCATGGGCAGGGGCACCTTCCACTGTCCCAGGCTGCTCCAAGCCCCATCCAACCTGGCCTTGGACACATCTTCACAGTCCATCAATTTTTCAGCCTTGCTGGTTTTAACCAGCCATAGCTTGGGCTTGGAGCACGCTGTGAACCTGCAGATCCTGGACCTGGAGCAGCTCAGGAATGGGCAGGGAGAAGCATTTCTCCAAAAGCCTCACGTGTGACCTCACAGCTTCAGCCCAAGGTAAAACTGAGGAGCATAAAGGTGTATCAGAACGTCAGATACCAGAGCTACTCTGGAGCAAGCCCAGGCTGGATTAGTCCTGGATGAGAAAGCCCTTTTACCTTCTGCCACAGCAGACCCCATCCTGCACAAAGGACTTGCTGGCAGCCTCCCCTCCTCACCATCTGTGGCCAAGAGGATGTTGCATGTGCCAAGGGGTGGATCTCCTGCAGCCTCCCGTCCACTCCCTGCCCGCTGCCTCACTAGGAACATGTCTGTCCAGGTGAGCACGGCAAGGTGTTTCCTGTGGAGCCACTAACCAGTGGTTGAGCAAGTGCTGCTGGCTTGAAGGCAGGTTCTCCTCCTTCCCCAGCCCTTTCCCTGCTCTGGATCCATCCGTGGGGAAACGTCCTCTCTGAGGTGCCGATGTTCCCCGGCTCCTCAGCCTCGCCCACGGCAGCAATGGAGATGTGGTGGTCTCCTCTGGGCTCTGGCAGCAGAAGAGGGTGGTGAGGGCTGGCTCCAAAGAGGTGAGATCTTCCTCCACCAGCGCTTGGGAGGTAGGAGCAAGAGGAGAGCTCCAGGAGCTGTCTCAGGAGCTGACTGACTGCGAGTCTGGGGGGATGGGGTGGGATGGGATGGGATGGGATGGGATGGGATGGGATGGGATGGGATGGGATGGGATGGGATGGGATGGGATGGGATGGGCATATGCAGCTGCTCCAGCCTTGTTTGACCTCCCACTGAGGTCCTGAAGGCTCATTTGGAGGTTCAAAGCAGTGATCTACAGCAGTCCACCTCTGCTGGAAGTGTTCCAGAGGCTCAGGGGATGAACCAGCCATCTCCCATGGGACCTGGAAGGGTTAGGAGGAAATCTGGGAGTTTTTCTCCAGGCCTGGGCTCCTCATCTGCCGCCAGCAGTGAAGGGAAGAGTGATGTGATGACCTGGGGGTTCTTGAAGGGACTCAGGGTGGTTTCCTGGTCTAGCTCGGGGTGCAGCAATGTGCTCCAGCCCCAAGCAGGGCTTTTCCTCAGCTGGGCAGCAAAGCCAGAACAGGTGTCTGTTTTTGTAGGAGCTGTTTCTGCAAAGGGACTTCCTTGCTCTCTTATTCCCCATCCTACCACAGGCTTTTCCATGCGTGCTCCTGCTGGGCTGTCTCTGACAGGACTCCCTGGACTTTTGGATACTGACAGGGATTTTGTTCTGGGTGTAAGGACAGATCATTTTGTGTCCCCTGTGACCTGCAGGGCACGCTGTCCTGGGGCCTGTGGCTCTTTGGGGATGCCCTCTGTGTCTGTGCCAGTGAGGTGCTCACAGTGTCTGGGGTTCAAGGGGTGCTGCCATGGGGATCTGACTCTGGGTGGGACCCAGAGGCTGTGTTCCATCTCTAGGACACCGTGCTCCATTCTCCCTTCTCCATCCTGTTTAAACTTTCATCACCCAATCAGCTCCTGCAGCAGAGCAAACATCGTCTGGTAATTAATCAGCACAGATGGGCTTTGTTTGAGCAAGCTGGTGTGCACCAGCCTCAGAGAAGGGTGCAGCAGGGGGCTGGGGTGGGGGCACCTCACCATGCCCTGCTCCAGGCTTTTCCCGTGTCCAGGAGGTCCCTGGGATCACCAGATCTTTTGACCAGTGCTTGGAGCTGAAAGTGGTCCAGGACATTTGGTTTTGTCAAGGGAGAGAGACATGAGAAAATAGGTTTTGTGGTTGTGAAACCCTGATGGAACCAGGGAAGGAGGGAGGGAAGAGAGTCCCACTCCTCTCTCAGATGCTTCTTGCCTCCTCTTGAGCTGCTCCATGTCCTGTGATCAGAGCAGTTGGGTTTGGACATGGAAAATGTTAAAATGCTGTCAAAGATCTCACTCAGAAAACCTCAAAGTAAATGGGAATCTGCATCTTCCAAGGAAAAAACCTTTTGGAAGCCCTCAAGTGCTTCAAGACCCTTGAATTACTTTTGTTCCCCTGATAATTATTTGTGCTGCATTGGCAAAGTGCTCCTGTTGCCCCAGAACCTAATTTTTCAGGTGAATCACCGTTAGCTGATGTTTTTTGCTGCAGTAGTGGCCACAGGGGCTCACAGCACCATGGCCACAGCTGAGGGAAGAGGAGGCAACTTCCCAACCCCTTTAGCACTCAGTTCCCTGCCTGCCCCCGTGTGCATTTCTGGGGACAAACTGGGAACACAGAGCTGTGTCCTGAGCCCATTTGTGAGTGAGCCCAGCCAGCCATTAGGGAGGGAGACATCTCCCCCACCTTAATGTGCTGGCTGCAGGTGACAGATGCCACGGGCAGCTCCATAAACCACAGGAGAGCAGAGCAGCACTTCCAGCCTCAGAGGCTTCCCCTCCCTGGCAGCCAGAGCCCAGCCCGAGCTGCCCTCCTCCTCCCTTGATTCTGTTTCACTCCAGCAGCTGGGGCTGCTCTTGTTTTTCATAGAGCATTTCTAGATTACAGCAAGTGACAGGAGAGTGATTTGTGATGGGTCAGGTTTCCTGCCCTTTCTCTTATAGCCCTGGCTTATAAAAATATACTCCCTGTGGGATTCTTTCAGGTCCATCTTTGTTGGCTGGTTCAAATCCCTCTTTTTTATTTGTCTTAGGAGGGCTTGGGAAAACTTGGGAAAGCCCCCTGGTACCAGTGCCCAGCAAAGCCCAGTCCTTGCCAGGGCTCCAGGATGGGGAAGGCTGATTTCCATCTCTGTGGAGATGAAGGGAGGTGCCCTGGGACCCCGAGGCAGGGAAGGATTCACCTTGACACCACTGGAAGTGGGGCCTTGGCCATCACATGGTCCAATTTCACAAAGACTCATCTCGTGTGCCCTGTGTGTGGTCCTGGTCTCACTGCCTTCATAAACATCCCTGGCTCAAGAGGGAATCTGTTGGCTTTGGTGTAAGGATGCTTTTGGTGGGGATTGGTGTCTCAGGGGGCTGGGGCGGGCCAGGAGCTCCTGCAGATCCCAGAGACATCAAATGAACAATTAACTGAGGCTGATGAAAGGATCTGAGGGATGAGTTCAATGCAGGAAGCAGCACGGATCACATCCAGAGCTCCTCACCACCCCACTGTGCCCCACTC